CCATGGGTTAAGGGACCCTGTGCAGGGAGGATTTGCTATTAAGACTTAAGTTTCCTTGTTTGGTCCTTGGCTCAGATGCTTTTGAACTCTGAATTTCGTTTGATGGAAAAGTTTTTTAAAAAAGCATTTCAGGTTGTTTAGACACTATTGGTGATTTTCCTAAATAAAACATTACCTTAGAAATGCTAATTCTTTGTTTTGTGTAATTCTCACGAGTTACTGATTTTTTTTATTATTATCTCATACATTTATTGTCTCGAAAATGACTGTGAGTCATAAGTTGCAGACCTGTGAACTTTGCCCCAGCGCTGTCCTCTCCTGCCATTCCCTTAGTCACCCCGGACCCCAGTGTCCCCATCATAACGTGACCAGTATAAATTAGCCTCAGGCAACTGGGAAAATGTAGGAATGTGTGTTGATTGACTATTTTTCGGTTTTAATTTCAAACCACACATATTTTTCTGAGTTCAGAATGGTTATATTACCTTCAAATGGTCATGTTAACATTTTCCCAACTGTATTACATTTCTATGGAAATATTAGAAACAGTGGAACTGGGATTATCTCTTCTAAGTTCTTCCTGCACTAAATTATTGGGTGAAGAGCAAGAAAAGGGGAAAGAGGACATCCAAAGAATGGCTAAAACAAAAAGAGGGACGAAGGAGTGTCTGTAGAGGAAAAGAAATAATAAGAAGTACATGAAAATGGGGAGACTTAGTTTTACATAGGAACAGAGGACACTCTTACTAAACCATATTTGGGGTTTTCCCAACTCAGAATGTTTACACTGTCTTTAAGAAGACTTGCCTGACCTTGAATTCCACTGCTCTCCAGATCCCTGTGTGGTGTGGGCAGCAGAACACTTTCAAGGTTGCTATTCTGTAACTTTGTCAAATTTGAGTCTCAACCAGAAACAGCAAATTCACACCTGAAACTGAGGCCGCGCACCTTTCCTTGTAAGTGTCCTGAAGTCATCATTTAGCAGGCTGTCATTGCTATTGAGGTTTTTTCTTTTTCTTTTTAAGACCTGTCTCACAGAGGAGGCTGTCCTGCCACTGTGACTGTGTCAGGCTATCATAGACAGATGCTCTCAAACATGGAAATCTATCACCCCAACTTTTCCAGGTTCTGTCCTTCCTGAATCACTTCTATTCACAGTTGGCTTTCCGTTCATTCTGTCTACAGGGAGAGAATGAGTTAGACTGTAAGTCTTGAGTATTCTGACTTCTGGAATAACTCACATTCTCATTGTAAATGAAATGCTTTTAAATGTTAAAAGTGGGCCAGATGCAGTGGCTCATGCCTGTAATCCCAGCTACCTGGAAGGAGGAGATCATGAGGATCATGGTTTGAGGCCAGCTCAGGAAAAAAGACCCCAGGTCAACTAAAAAGCCGGGATGGTGGCACATACTTGTCACCCCAGTTATGTGGGAAGCATCGATAGGAGGATTTCAGTCCCAGGCTAGCCCGGGGAGAAACACAAGACACTTTCTGAAAAATCACTAAAACAAAAAGGGCTGGAGGCATGGTTTAAGTGATAGAACACCTGCCTAGCAAGCATAGGGCCCTGAGTTCAAACCCCAATCCTGCCAAAAAACAAAACAAAGAGTCATGTAAGTGAATTTTCTAAGTAAGAATGTCAGGTTCAGTTTCCTATGGCTGACTTCAAACACTGTCATTCTAATTTCTAGATAAAGTCTCCTTTTTTTAAAACCCTCCTATAACTGAAACTTAAAAAACAGAAACAAATTGTTGAATAACATTTGAGTGGAGTGTGGTGGGGAGGTGCCACCCCATAATTCTACTCCCCTAGGGCACCAGCTATTTTTATTTTTTCCTCCTCTTCCCTGTCTATGTACGGGAAGTTTTTATTGGCTGCTTCAAAGGACACATGTGGTTTCATCGCCTGCTATGCTCATTTCTCTTGATTAGGCTGCCTTCATGATTCAGAGTGTATCTAACCAGCAAAGTTGAATAAATTGGGGTGGACACCCCACTTTCTAAAATCACACTTTCCAGTACATCCTGAAAGGATGGCAGGCCCATGATTGGCATAGAATTGTGCGTGGCAAGACGATTTATGGTTGAAATGGCAGCCAGCCAACATCTATGCACAGCCTTGTTCTCCAAAGGATTTCCTTTGAGGGTGGTGCCAGGACTCCAATTATGCCTGCACAGCTGAAAATGAAAAAAAATTAAATAAATAAAAAGGAAAGCAGTATTATTTTATGATTGTTAGCATTCAGGAAAAAAAAATTCAGCGAGCCTGGCAAGCCACACAAAGCTACAGATGTCTGCTTTTTCTCTGTGCACGCCCACAGGGTGCGCCTTTTCCAAACTGATGATGAAAACCGGTACTCCAAGCTCACTTGACAATGGGAAACAGACAGGTGCCCTTTTGAGAAGCAAAGCACAGCAGCATTATCAAAAGAAAGTGGTACCTACAAAAACATGACGACTCAAATGCGGGTTTCTATCCAGTCTTTCCCTGTGCCTGACTTACTTCTGCAGGAATATTTTATTTTCTCCAGGGAAGGCATGGGACAGGTTTGCCATTTCCCCAGGACAGGATACTCACATCTCAAGACATAGTTATGTCCTCAGATTGCTGAGCAGATAAAGTGGCATGATTTAATTTTAATGGGAATTTTATTTTTCATGAAACTAAGATCCACAGGGTAAACGTTTAAGTCTGATTTATGTGCTTTCAAATATTTTGAGAAAGTGATGTACTCTTTTTTATTACTGTGATAACAATATTTCAGATACCAAGTTGTTTTCATAAAATTTATTAGGATGTGAACAAGGAACTCAAAAGCTTGTGTACACCCTTGAACTTCTACGATGCAATTAAGAAGCTCAAAATTTTGTGTATGAAAGATGCAAAAGTCAACTCTTCCTATTCTCACTTTCAAGGGAATTTTCCCAAGCCTGTGATAAATGTTTTTCAAAGAACTTCAAAATAATGCACAAGGTGGTTGGACCTCATTGTTTTCTAGAACTTCCACTATGTTAACCTTTCTGGTGAGAACTGAATTGCTGTTCTCACCAATTAATATTGGAATATAAACTTTTATTCCAAGCATGTGTGCCATTGCTATTAACTGCCCTACTGAAATTTGAAATTAACATTTTTGGGCTGCCTTTTTGATGAAAGAATCATTTATACATGTTGGTACAGCAACAGAGATTTCAGTGTCATTTAAAATTACAATGACTTCCGTTGAACTTGAGAGAGGAATAATTGCAATGAAGATGATAGAAATTTAAAATTAAGTCAGCCAGTAAGGATGCCTACTATGTGCAGGTTGATGGATTCTCATAGGACCGAGGCTGTTGTTCTAAGGAGATTAATACCTGCAGCTGAGTTGGAAAAGAACAAGGACTTCTCAAAGACACATCTCAAATGGGTTTGTATCCTCAAAAAATGGCAGGTCTTGGGGCCAAGGTTTTTCTTCATTTTTAATATCTTTCTTAGCTGGCTTAGTGGGATGTGAAACTCGACTTCTGAGTCATTCTTATAACTTAGAATCAAGACATTTGAGGCTAGAGGTGCCCAAGCACCTCATGCTGTTTGATTGAGATCCCAAACTAGGGAAATGTGGTGGATGGTCTCTTTGGAGGACTAAGGGGATTTTCTCATGGGTTCCATGACAGCTTTGGACATGCTGATTGTCAGAAAACAATTCCTGGTGAATAAGAAGGGAAGTTTGTTTCTGTCTTTCCTGGAGGAAGCGCTCATGGGAAGGAATCTAAGACAAGGCCAGGATCTGCCTAAGTGCGTCCTTTCTTTGCATCTGTTTGATGTGGCAGGTCACTGGGGAGAAGAAGGGACTTCTGTAGGGGCTATCTCATCAGCTGGAACATTATGAGGTGTTGGATGCAGCAGTAGTGTTGGAATCAGCTCATTAGAGCCATTCGCTACATTTTGAGGAATCGGGTACCAGATATAAAACTCGGCCATTACTAAGTTATATCAATTTATAATTAAACCCATTATATTTAAGATCAAAAGTAATACTCAGGGTCTATTACTTCTTTATTATTTTCCTGCATTTTGCCATTATCTGTACTCTCGGCATTATTTGTGTGTATTTATCTGATGTTGGAAACACTGTCAGCATTCCAACGACAGCCATTGACACCAGGCAATGTAGCATGCTGAAGGACAGTGATGGTTAGAGCTGCAGCCAGCTGACATCTGTGAGGTGTCTTGCTCTGCAGAGGATTTCTTTTGAGGGTAATGCCAGAGCTCCAGCAAATGCTGCAAATCAAGGTGTTTCCCTGCAGAAAGCCAGTTATTTAAGCATTCATCAGCATTCCACCAGGCCCAGCCGTTCATTTCTGAATGTGTGGGGTACAGAAACGAACAAAGTCTGCAGCCAGTAACAATCAGGGCCAAGACTAGACTTTCGTCTCTCATTGCTCATCTCAAATGCTTGCCCTGCTCTGTGTCACTGTTCAGAGCAGTAATCTTGAATTGCCCTGGGATCAGGGCTCAGAGTTAGCCGTGGGTACTTATCTCCAGGGCTTTCCTGTCATTGTGACTGAACTGCAGGTTCTCAGGTCATACTCTGGTTAACAGGGAAGTCCAGTTCAACTGCCAGGTGTGCGGGCGTCTGCTCTCTGGTGATCAGCAAGGGAGACGATGAAGCAGAGGCAGAGACTGGATGAACAAAGAATGAAGAACACTATCACCTGATAGGATGTTACAGACATATTTGCTAATTTATTCTGCATATCCTCTGTGGAAATGTAAGCTCCATGGGGCCTTGTGTTCTGCACTGAGCTCCCAGAATAGCACTCGGTACATAAAAAGTCTCCATAAACATTTTTGAATGAATGAATGAAGCAACCCTACCACTTCTTGGCATCATATGGCCAATTCCCAGGGGAAACTTCTCCCACAGGAATATGCCTGGTAGAGTCCATCCCCGGGACCCTCAAACCTTTGTCTGACTTCTAGACTGTCAGTGATCACCATTTCTCTTCCCTCTTAGATGACGGAGGGCCGTCGATGTCAAGTACATCTTCTCGATGACAGAAAGCTGGAACTCCTAGTACAGGTAAGTCCCTCCAGGCCACTATCTAAGTTTCCTCTGAGACTAACATGATTCAGAGGTTGGTTCACTGGGGGATGGAAGGGAAGAATGTCAACCGCTTTTAAACCTCCGTCTATGAAATCTGTGGGAGAGGTTGGGACACACCAGGGTGTTTTTTGCGTGTTATTTTGGCTCTGTTTCTGTGTACAGTGTGCCTCAGGAGTGTTCAAGGCCAGATGTTTATCTAAGCTATTGTTGCAGATCTCTAGAAACGGAAATTCCACAACTGCCATTGCTATTCTTTCCGCTTAGAAGGAGTTAACTGCAGTGCAATCTAAATAATAACTCGTGCCGTAACTAAAACTGACTTAGCCTGTCTTGCTCAGAGGGGATAGAAAACAGTCCCTTCTTTTCAAATTAAAACTTCATAGTTTGTGAGAAGAGAGAAGCAATGTCTGTGCTCTGTCTGTCCTCTGAGGGCTAAGTGTCCCCCTGCCCTTTTCCCCTTATGACCACTGGTAAAAGCGCCATCACTGTCAAAGAATCTAGAGAAACTGGGACACAAGAAATCAACCAATTTCTCTCCAACTAAGAACACAGAGGGGTCAGAAAAGTCAGAGAAGTCATTAGAATCGCAGAGCTTGCTGTTGTTCACCTCGGTTTTAAAAAGATCTGTTTTACTCAGAGCCTAAAGAATGACGATATTTCCAAGTCTGGTGGTGTTCAACCCCAACTTTTGTAACTCCATTTGCTTGCCATTCTCCAATGTCTGTCTTGGGTTCTTAGAGTGCGGTGTCTCATCCCTCCAAGGCCTGGCTGAGACCCACATGCTATTTTCAGGGAAAATGACAAATTGTAATGTGAAGGATCCCTTCCAAGCACTTGTGTCGTGTCCATGTGCTACCTGGATTTGAAAATGTTTAAACTGTGCACTTTAAGAGTGGATGCTTTTAATAGGATTCAAGTTACAAAGACATTATAATGCCACATAGAAAATAGAAAAAATAGGGAACGACTCATAATCACATCACACTAATTTGACTACTATTCTTATTTTGGTAGATTTCTCTCCAGCATTTTCATATTTCCATTTCTTGCATGGTTGTAATCATAATGTATGTATAATTCTATATATTTTATTTTTCCACATTGTCTTTCACTAGCATTTCCATCTTTGTTAAGAGCTGCATAAATTCCAGAAAGGATATGCTATTATTATGTAATCATTCACCCATTTAGGTACATTTACGTATGTTTTAAAATAATTTTTCCACTCTTACAAGTAAATGCTATAATCAACTTATCTGTGTGTATAGATTACATTTTAGATTACATCTAAAATTCTATGGCCTGCAGTCTTGTTAAAAGTAAGACTTGTGGTTTACATTTGAGCGAGAGAAGCAATAAAGGAAAACCATGAGGTTAAGCAAGATCTTTTCAATCAGTGGAGTCTTTCACTAACCAACATTTGATGCCTTAAATTTTAAGAATCAGTGGAAGAGTTTATAGGTGAGTGATGTCTGGTGTTTTATATGCTTTTCTTAAAGCTTGGGGACTTTGTAAGAAAGTATCTTCTAGAACAGGAAATGAGACAGACAAAGGTAGCTCTTGCTGTGGATTGGGCAGCTGGCCTTGGGAAAATATGAATGGGGCATCTGAAATGGACTTGAGCCTCAAAAATACGCTCCATTCCTGATGTGCACAGCTTGGGCACAGTTATCCTCAACCCTAGAAAATCAAGACAGCGCTGAATCAAGTCAAGCAAGAAACTCCTGCTCTTCCCACACTTTATGGAACATATTTGATGTGTTAGTCCCTCTTCCTGGAAATTGTCCTTCCCACACCCTGTCCCCTGGACCTGGCTACTTTCCCTTCAGTCTTCACTTCACAGCATGGATGACACTCCCTCTCCACCCCCACACCCCACAAGGGCTTTCCCTGACCCTCCCAGTCTCTCCTGAGTCTATGACTTAGCTGCCCCTGCCCAGTCACACATACAGTTACACCTCATTGTCATTGTTGTGTACTTGTCACCATTTCCCAGAACCCCCAGCAATTTGAGGACTGGATCTATATCTTGACCACTGTGTGTCCCCAATATACAACCCAGTTCCTGGAACATGTTATCACTAAATGCATACTTGTTGAATGAAAAAAAAATATGACCCTAAGATGCCTTGATATGTATGTAGTCCTTAAAGGACTTCTTGCCATAATACCAACTTCTTGGCCAAGGAATTTGTTTAGCACACACATAATTTTTTTTATATATGTAATAGAGAAGTTTCTAAACTCCATTGCACAGTGGGCTTCAGCAAAACTTGGAGAAATGAGATTAAAACAATAACTGTCTCTTCTCTTCAAATTTCTCTGGTCTAGAAGGATGAGGCAGAAGCCCTTTTAAAGGCAGCCATTTGGACCAATCTCAAGGTTTTCAATGACATAAAACATTTCTACACACACCCTTGTTTTTGATATTTCATGTTCATAAAGTGATAAACCTTCAAATTCACCGATTCTTCAGTCACCAAAATATATTAAGTATTGAAAGCATGGTTGTTCAGAACACTTCTGGGATATTTGGTAGAAGACTTGGATTAAGCAATGTCTTTTGCCACCTTTTGACCTGGAGTTGCAGAGACAGGTAGAGAGGCAAAAGGCATTTTCTACCCTACATCTACCTAACAAGGTTTGTAGGATGGGGAGGCCGGTTTGGAGGAAGTGTTTGCTTTCTATAGAAAAGCAAACAAGTTTACATAGGGTGACCCACAGAAGGACATTTGTAAGTGGCAGAAGTTCCATGGTAGTCTGTAGCCTCTAACTATTCGAGTAGAAAACTCATCAAAGGCTATGTAACCTTGGATGTTAGAAGCAGAGACACTGCTGGCATAACTGTTAGATGAGTGAGATGACTTGTTTTTCACACCTCACTTCCTTCCTGACCATTGCTTCAGGAAGATGGGACTTGCATTCCATGGAGGATGCTGGGAACCAGACAGCCACTCAGATAATTTCATGTCATGGTGGAAACTTGACCATTCTGAGCATAACATTTCCTTTCTCTGGATTACACAGAAAAATGGCCTTAATTCTAGCATTGAATGCTTATCCTGTCAAGCACTTTGAGATTACTGAGTGAAACTGTGCTTCCAAATCCCACCCCCTGTAAATTACCCATACTGGGGAAGGGTAGAAGATGAACAGAACGATACTAGGAACTGATCTTAAATCCACAGGCAATTTCCTGACCCCCATGTCTTTACCATGTAGTTCCTGTCCTTAAATTCCACTTAAGAACAGTTTGAAAAATGATCGTGAGTGTTCAGAGATAGATCATGAATAGCTGGCAGGTGGCAGACACCCTCCGATCCGACCTGCAGACAGTGCCTTTTGCCTGCCATCCAAAATTGTTTTGGCTAATGAGAAATTTACTTCAGAAAGCCTCCATCAAAATGAGAGAGGTCTCAGTCATCCACTGGGATTTGAACTCAAGGCCTTGTGTTTAATAAATAAGCACTGTACCACCTGAGCCACACCTCCAACCCTTTTTGCTTTTAAGTTAGTTTTCAAATAGGCTCTCATGTTTTTGCCTGGACTGAACTCTCACTGTGATCCTCCTACCTATGCTTCCCATGTAGCCGGGATCACAAGTAAATACACCATACCCAGCTTTTTTTTTTTTTTTTGGTGGTGCTGGGGTTTAAACTCAGGGTTTCATGCTTGCTAGGCAGGTGCTCTACTACTTGAACCACTCCACCAGCCCTTTTTGTTTTGGGTATTTTTTCAAGATAGGATCTCTTGAAGTATTTGCCTGGGCTGTCTTTGAACCAGGATCCTCCTGATCTCTGCCTCCTGAGTAGGTAAGATTGTAGGCATGAGCTACTGGCACCCAGCCCACTTGGCTTCTTTATTGAGATGGAGTCTTGCTAACTTTTTGCCTGGGCTGGTCTTGAACCAAGAGATCTCCTGTCTCTGCCTGCCAGGTAGCTGGGGTAATGGGCTCGCACCATCCCACCCAGCCCCTGTGTCATGCTAAACTGAACTTACTGCATCTTCTCTTCCTACCATTGCACCTTTAAAATTACTTTCTTCGATTTTCCTGATCTGAATGCATATTTGGAAGTGCATTTTGAAAGCAAAGAAAGGCAAATGTGCTTTAGCAATGGAGAGAATGATTTAAGGAAGCCTTTGAAAAGGATTTCCAGACATGAGAGTCAATAGATGGAGCACCAGACACAGGGAAGGTTCTGGAGTCTTTCTCCTGGGTTTCTTAAAAATAGAATCCGTTTTCACTAGAATGGAATGGCTTAGGGGTGGCCCTTCCTCCTGAGGCTCACTGGAGGCTTACAGTACTGTATAATATCCTGACTTACAGGAAGACAGGCCAACAGGAGAAAACAGACCCTTGCCTTCTGCTCCTCGGACCACCTGGCTTTCCTGTTCCCCTGTCACTTCAGATGAGTAGATATTCTACTGTCCTTTCCTCTGATGAAAAAGCTCTAACATCAGTGTCCTCTCCCTCCCACACTTCTGTCACCACTGAGCTTGCTCCCCGTCTTGCTTAGGAAGCTGCCCGTTATATTAGGCCATGTTCTAAGCCCCAAGCTGACCTCTCCCTCTGACTCAGTCTCTCATTGGCCATTGCAAGACACTTAAAACTGCTCAGTTCTAGTAAAATAGAGGAATAAAATGTCCCCATGATTCTGAGAAATGGTGCAATCATTAACTAGTCAGTTTTTCCAAGAGAATTCAAGATAATAACTAGATGGCTGGTTTGATTACATGGAACCCCTAATCTTACAACGGCCACTGGACAGAAGCACCAAGAAAGGTCTAGGGCTGCACTGTCTAGGACAACAGCCACCCAGTGAGCACTGCAGTTGAGGCCAGAGATGATTAGGGTGTGTCATAAGTATAAAAGACATACTGATTTTAAAGCCCTCATATAAAAAAGCAAAGGGATAATGCTATGTTGAAATAATATTTTTGGTATATTAGCTTGAAGACAAATGTGTATTTAAATT